TGGGAGCAGATTTCAAGTTAACAGGAACTTTATTGTACTGTAGCGAGATTTGATAAGTGAATGACCTTTCATATAGAGTTCTTTTGTGTAGAGGAGGAGTGATGGTTAGTTTATGCCTCAAATCCAGAGCATGAGAGTCATATCTAAATTTTATTTTCTGATATAAATAATCCGGACATTTTTTAAAAATTATTTTGTTGTACATTACTAAGCTATGGAGCAGTCTCCTCTCACTCATGCTAAACCACCCTATTTCCCTCATCTTATCACTCACCCCTCTGTCATACTTCCTTATGCTACCTACCAAACGCACGCAGCAATTCTGAATCAGTTGGATACGTCTGGCATCCCTTTCGAGCAGACATGGGCCGTACAGAGCATCACAAAATGTGAATTGTGATAGAACCAGACTGTCACATAACGATTTCCTGAGATTAGCATTCAAGAGGCGTCTCTCATTGAAAATCACCTTCAGCTTAGCGAATGCCTTTCTTATACAATTATTAATATGTTCTGTAAACCTAAGGTTAACGTCAAGCAAAAGTCCAAGGTTTCTAGCTGCCGCTGAGCAACTCAAAGCCTGACCATCAAGGCTGATTTGAAGCATGTCCTGACATTGAGATCGACTTTGCGCACGTCCAAAGAGCAAAACTTGACACTTTTTAGGATTAAGCAGCAAGCAGTGATTGATTGAGACCCTCAGCAGCCGGTCTAGGTCCGCATTTAGTTTATCGTTGGCTTCAAAAATGTTTTCTGGACGAAATGACATATAAAGTTGGGTATCGTCTGCGTACAGGTTCACATTGGCGTGCCTCAAGCTGTTAGTTGTGAGGTGTACAAAGTAAAAAATAAAGGCCCCAAAATCGATCCTTGAGGAACACCACGTGCAACATCCAAAGATCCCGACACGCTAGAGCCAACCTTCACCGACTGTGTTTTTTTAGAAAGGTAACTTTCAATAAGTTGGCAGGCCTTTCTTTCAAAGCCAAGATACCTCAGAATTGCCAAGAAAAGATCATGGTCCAGTCGATCAAAAGCCTTCGAATAGTCCAGCAAGATCAAAGCAGTGAGTTCACCAGAGTCAGCCGCCTCAAGAATATCGTCAGTAACCTTTAGAAGTGCTGTTGCGCAACTGTAGTCTTTACGAAAGCCAGACTGAACAGAAGGTAGCAACTGGTGAGCTTGGATGAAGTCACGAATCTGGCTCTCCAATACTCTTTCCAGAACCTTCGAAAATGTTGGCAGAATGCTTATGGGTCTAAGATCCTTCAACTCCTCAGGGACGGGAACCTTAAGGATCGGAAGCAGAAAAGAATTTTTCCAGACATTTGGAAAGAATGAAGTCTCTATGCATGAGTTAACAATGTGTACAATAAAGGGAAGGATGTGAGGACAACAGAGACACAGCATGGACAGTCCAATGCCATCAGTACCGACAGCCAATGACTTGATTGAGAAAAAGGCTGTGTGAACCTCCTCAGGGGTGGCAAGTCTAAACTCAAAAGAGCCGACATCATGTTTTCTGTTTTCGCGATAGAAGAGTGACGTAGCTGGATCAGGGGTTGATGAAGAAGCAGCATTTATAAAAAATTGATTTATGTCATCCACATTACCAAGATGTTCAGGATGGATATAGGATCCTTCGAATATATACCGAGCTCCCTAAGCAGCTTCCAATTATTTTTGGGATTGCCTATATTCAAATTGGTTTCAAGGTAGTTTTTTTTTCTCAGTTTGAATCGCGATTGTGACTTGATTACGAAGCCGTCGATAGTTTTCCCAGTTTTCTGGCGTGTTACGTTGCTTAAATTTAGATAGGGCATTATTCCGTAGCTTCATAGTGAGCCTTATATTGGGGGAAATCCAGGATGTCTTTTTTTTTGTTACCCGGGCATTTCTTATGGGGGCATGCCTATCAAACAAGCCTAAAATGTATCTATTGAATGTTTCCAGCTTTTCATCGACATTCTGTAGATAAAAGATATTATGAAGAGGTATATTCAGCATAAAACGCTTCGCGATCAAAATGTCGTAAATCTCTATAAGATATTAAGGAAGGTTTAGGTTTGGAGACCTTCAAACGCAACTGACACTTAATAAGGGAGTGATCAGATGCATCGAAAGAGGTATCGACACTACTACTTGACAGAAGATCCTTGTTAGAGCACAAAATTAAATCTATGACAGTTGCGCTGGTAAGACCCCGCCTGGTTGGCTCGTTTATGACTTGTGTTAAGCTATACGCATTCAGCAAGGAAAGAAATTGTTGAGAATACACGGAATCAAGATTGAAAACATCAATGGTGAAGTCGCCCAAGCACACGAGATTTGAATACATCAGCAAATTTTGGGAGACATTCCATTCAAATTCTTTCAAAAATTCATTCACATTGTTGGTGCCAGGAGGCCTATATACGACGCCCACAACATTTTTTAATAGGTTAATTTTAAATTCGGTCCATACCTGTTCAGCATAACTAGACTTAGCATTATTTAGGATTGAAAATTTAATTGAGTTGCGTATGTACAAAAGTGTGGTGTGTGCCTATGTGCCTATGTTTCACGGGATTTATTCTCAATTAAGCGGTAAATTGAATTTTGTCCTCCTACTCCATGTTGTTCTGTTCAATGTATACCGAAATAGTTATTTAAACAACAAGTTTTGAAAACGACTTTTTTCGCATGGCGAGACAGTTTGTTGGACCGAGCCGTAGGTAAGTTCCACAAGTCGAGCAAGTGTGAAAAAAGGTTTTCAAACGAGTTTTTCACAATGCTTTTCCTACAACTGCAAAATAAAACAACCAAATATGTAATTTTCATTTGTTAGAAAACTTGAAGCGTGTGAAAAACTTTTTCGCACTCTAATTTCAGAGGTTGCCTAGCGTGCGAAAAACTCCATTTTCAGAGGCAGTCGTAGGAAAAATTATTTTATTGAGTTGGAACATTTTCTCAATTCCTTGCAGCAGGAGTCGACTTTCATCCGATCGATCCATCCATCCAATTTTGATATTTCATTTACAATCATACATGTAATGTTGACTTTTAAATTTTTTTTGAAAATGTAACTTTTTTGACTTCTACTTTCCACCCACGGGTCGAAAGTTTACTTTCCTCCCGTGAGCCGAAAGTAAATTAAATTTTTAAAAAATTTACTGTATTTTTTGACTTTTACTTTCCACCCACGGGTTGAAAGTTTACTTTCCTCCCGTGTGCCGAAAGTAAATGAAATTGTTAAAATTTATTGTATTTTTTAGTTTTCATTTAAATAAAAATTATAAAATTCGAATGATTGTAAATAAAATAGTATACATACTTCGGTTAAAAGTTTCATTACTGTCGAGAGATTTTAGTTAGAGCGAGGCGTAGCCGTGGTCTAACTAAAATCTCTCGACAGTAATGAAACACTTTTTAGCTCGGTATGAAATTTTCTATTTACTACCTACCAGAAGGAAAACCCTGTAACAGGTACCTAATTAACCTCCTGGTTAAGCTTTTTTTTTTGGTCTACCACGTTTTAAATTTTGTACCTTGATCTAGAATTTATTTACTTATTCCATGTTCAAGTTATTTATGTCTTACGCCAACTTATGGAAAAAACGTAGGAACTTACTTTTAAATTAAGATATTTTTTTTAATTTTGAACTTTGACGTATTTTTATACTATAACTTTTTTTTTGGTTAGTCTCACGATATTTTCATATTAACCAAGATCATCAAGCATTTATCGGTCTACAATTCTTTCCTCCTAGCATTTTTTGATATTCCTGCTTGTTTCTGAGTTATTTTTTAAAATTTAAAAAAATTACAATTTTCTCGGATAAAAAAAACAATTTTTGGAGTGTTTCGCGTTCCGCAAAGTAGAGGAGTGGGGACTTTTGGTATGTTAATCTTGAGGACAAATGCTAATGCTAAACATTCCCGCAATAGTCAGCTTTAGGTGATTTTGTTCCGGATTTATTACATAAAGCTTCATTTCGTCTCTGGACTATAGGTACCTACTGAAAGTACTGGACAATTTCCTCACTGTATATCTTTCGTTATATTGTACTGAATCTTTTTTCTTTCAATTAAATATAAATTGACCTAAACTAAGGAAAAAGATACCCCTGACCTTTTATCTGTATTGATCCCCTAAATTTTTAGGCAAGTGTCTGTGATTTGTATGTGAGTTTTATTCCGTAGGAAATTTCTCGAGAAGTGTCTGCTAGATTTCAGAAAAAAAGGAGAAGTCCAGTCAATCACGCTAGTTATTTGGTGATATCATTTTTCTGCATTAAAGTAAAGCTAGCAGAGAAATAGAGGTTTCTCAACTAGTACTTTTTGCATACTAAAATTAACATTATCTTGTGACTGATTTTCTTCTAAACAAAAATCTAGCCTGATGTTGGAAGAAAGAAGAATGATTAGCTGTTAATGAGTGATTGGGAGGATTACTCAAACCTATGATAACATTTTTCTAACATGGGTATCTACAAATTCAAAATAGAAATGCATAAATTGATAAAAAACATAAATTGATTCATTTGAAATAAAAAAAGCTTATCACCCTATTGTCACATCTAAGAAAGTAATGTATTTCTGCATTTCTATAAAGTTTGAATAATAGATAACTACCTCAGTCATAATTAATGAACTTTTTATTTATTATAAAGTGTGGAACAAAGAAATGCCTATACTGGTAGGTAGATACCTATGTATGTATTTCTAGATATCTTTATGTAGGGGATGATCTTGCTATTTAAGTAAAACCTAAAAAAAAATATTTTGTAGGTACTCTGAAAGAAAAGTCTTCACAGAACAATATTCTAATTTTGTTTAAGTACTAGCTACATCCAATTACTCGCACTACATAACACATAGGTACTTAAGGGGAAGATTTGAGAAGAATCTTCGTTGATTATAAATTTGATTCAAATTCATTTAGTACATTCAATTGATGAAAAAATTTATTTTCAATTGGAAAACAATAACAAACTTTTGAATGTTTAATAAAAACTCACCTTTATACGAACAAAAAAAAATATGAAAAATTTCACTAAAAGCAACACAACGTCACTCGGGGTGAGCATTCACAAAATTTTGAAAAACAACCCTTCCGATTGACTTCGATAAACTTAAGTCGCGTGGTAGTTCCTTTGCCGATCGGCGCTTCGCGGCTCAATTTGTCGAGCACTGGACCACGACTAAAAACTAAAACCAAACCAACCAACCGGCTTCTCGGCTCCGTTTCGTTTGACAACTTTACTCCATGAAACAACAACTTTGCCATCGGCGAGGACCAAGCGGTAGCAGCAAACCGAGAACATTCTTATCTTGCAGAGTAGCAGCACCCCGGCGCCTGCTGTTGCGGAAATAGCTGGAAGATTAGGCGCCACTGAAACAGATACAACATTACTCGAATGGAATAATGGACATCGGAATGGTCGCGCTTGCATCTTTCAAGACGCTCGTGCCGCACATACCAAGAACATCGTAATTATGTCCGACTTGAGGTTGTCTATTTTGCTCATTAAAATTTTATATATATGCAGGAAAAGACTTCGGGCATAATAATGTTTGGAATTATCTACATTTTTACCTATACAGGTAATGAGAGTCAATATTATTGGGATTAATAGAAGTCAATATTATTGGGGTTGATAACGATAACATTAATTGGCCTGCTAGATTGTCCGAACTAACCACTCTAGATGTTTTTCTTTGAGATCTTATCAAAGAAAAAGTTTATGAAATAAACTCAAACCCTATAGACGATTAATGACATAAAGCAAAATATGGTGAATATAACAGCATAAAAAATATCATTTTCAAAACATAAACTCCCATGCCTCTATATATAGTGTATTTTTTGTATGAATAATGACAGACTCCATCAAATCCCGTTGGAACACCCTATAACTAATTTACTTAGGTAAGTAAGTCAAAGTGGTCTTAGTTAAAAATCTCGTTAAAATCCAACTTACTGAGTTATAATTTATTTACAGGTAAGAATATCAGGACTTTCAATATTTCCCTTTATCAACCTAAACATAGTACACAAACATGCTCTTGTTCTACGACATTCCAAAGGCATCCTATATTGAACATACGTAATAAAATTCTATTATCGCAGCTTTGTTGAGAATAGAAATCAAACTTCTTAGAAAACATATACTTTAGAAATTTCCTCTGTATTCCCTCAATAAATGATCTCCATACATTATTATACTGTGGTGACCATATAATACTATTAAACTCTAGTTTAGGAAGCATTAAAATGTCAAAGAGCTTAAGGCTTAGGTCAATGCTAAAATGTGTGGTATTTCTTATCACAAATCCCATTATTCTCTGTGCATGCTGTATCGTAGTTACTATATGGTCATTAAATGACATATTTGTATCAAAAATTATACCCAAGTCACGTTGACAGCTTACCGTATTTAACAAACAAAACATCCTTAATACTATAATATGGATTGTTAAAAATATTATGATTTAACGAGGACATACAGGAACACTTATCAACATTCATATTGAATCCATTTCTATTACACCAGACAGCAACACAATCCAAGTAACGCTGAATACTATCACAGTCATCAGCAAACAGCAACATTTTGGACTCTTTCACCACATCAACAATGCCATTTATTGTTACCAAGAAAAGTAGAAGTCCCAGATTTGAACCTTGGGGAATGCCTGATGTACTTTCATAGACTACAGATTTACATCCTTTTATATCCACATACTGGTTCCTTTAAAATATATAGGATTTAATATTAATTAAATAAGGGGGAACATCCATATCCATCAATGCTTTCACAATTAGGTATACAGTGCCTAACCTTATCAAATGCCTTTTTCATATGTGTATAAATTACATCCACCTGAGGTTTTTTCTTCAGCGACTCATGGACAAACTGGGAAAATGCAGCTAAGTTAGTGAAAGTAGATATTTTTGGTAGAAATCTATGTTGAAATTGTGTGATTTTAGAAGAGACTTCATTATAAATCAACTCAAATAGGATTCTCTCGAAAATTTTAGACACTGCACACACACACAATGCTAATCGGACGATAGTTCTTGATCTGTTTTTTAGGTCCACTTTTATTAATAGGAATGACCTTACTAGATTTCTATTGATCAGGATAAATGGAAGATTTCAGGCTTTAAGTGAAAATAAATTTCAATGGTTAAACTAAAGACTCACTACACCCCTTAATATGCCGGCAGACCATCTGGACCAATAGCCCTATTAGCTTTCATTCTCTTGATAGCATTCAAGATTTTTTCATCGGATATTAACACATCCCAAAAATAGGACTTTATATCAGATAGCTCACAAACACATTCAGACGTATCACCATTCACAAACACAGATTTAAAAAATGAGGCAAAGCCTTCAGTCGCAGACTGATCAGTTCCTTTGTATGAGCAATTTCCCCAGTTCATCTCCTCCCTGATGTATTTACTCTCTTTTTGGCCTTTCAAAAATGACCAAAAATACCTGGGATATAATATTAAGCTACTCTCCAGATTCAGCAAGTACCTTTTATGTGCTACCCCTATTTTACATGTAAGCTCCTTTCGCAGGCAGTGGCGCACCCAGGTTTTTCATTTGGGGAGGGTTTTCATAATGATCAAGGTTCATCGCAGACAGGCGCGGCCGTAGGCCGGCCGCCATAAGAAGAATTTTTTTTTCGGGTGTCACGCCCAAAAACGTTTATTTTAAGCCATCAAAAAACAATTAAAACGAACGCTCGCAGCAAAATAGCTGCGCGAAAAAAAGCTATTGTCACCGCCACTGTTTTCATAATCGTGTGTATTTAAAAGAAAGAAAGTTTCCTACATGGTTGCAAACATTCTAAATTCCGTTTCTACCAATTAAATAATGTTCACAAACATTGCTGATCATTCGCAAATTTGCAATCGTTTTGCGCGCTTGGTGGAAATACACCTTTACCATACATAACCGCGAATGGCGGCAAATATCCAGTAAGTTCCCCAAAATTTTGTAGAGGGCGCGAGTGAACTGGATCCTTATTCTTGAAATAAGGGAGCAATGTTCCCAGGAGACGAGTGTTCCGTCTTTCTCAATGATATGCAGAAGATAATATAAGTAATAAAGACAGAACACTCGTTCTCTTGAGAACGTTGCTCCCCTGTTTCAAGAATAAGGACCATGGAGTGCTTTCAATTTTGGCAGTAAATGTCAATATTTTTAATCCGTTTAACTGAGTAGAAGGAAAGATGACTAAGGGTCGGTATTTCAATGTCGCCTTAAGGTACAGAATAACGTTGAGTCATCCTTAATACAAGTTTCAGCGTATACTTATCAAAGTTTCCTTAATTGCAGGTGAATCTTAAGCCACCTGAATGAACTGATTTCAAGTTTCCCTTAACGATAAGGTTACCTTATCTGGTTCAAAACTGTTTTGAAACAGTACACTTGGCCAAACATAAATATGATTTAGCAAAAAAGTTTTTTCCGGGCTATAATGCCGTGGTCCATTAGTATTTCTACCTAACGTTTCGTCTACTGCTGCGGTAGACATCTTCAGAGGCGGTGTGGTAGTCATCGGAGAAACACGGAAGAGAACACTTCGTCCTCTACCACACCGCCTCTGAAGATGTCTACCGCAGCAGTAGACGAAACGTTAGGTAGAAATACTAATGGACCACGGCATTATAGCCCGGAAAAAACTTTTTTGCTAGATTTGACCGGCCGTGAAAGCCTTCATTCTTTATAAATATGATTGGTTTGAATATGACACTGACTTGACTCTTTTTGTCAGTTTTGAAGTGATAAGAAAGGTCGATTTACACAATACCACATAATAAGAGAAGGCGTACTAGTTTCATGATTGGCCAAGTGTACATTCTCGCGATAAACTCATGACGTCACGTCAAAATTGGTTCCAACCGTTTCGAAATACAATCCAATCCACGTTTTCAAACCATTTTCTCGCGCCGAGAAATTATGACGTCATAGTGACATTACTTAAACCAGTTTTGAACAATGTTTTGAAACATTTGAGACGCGAGAAAACGCCTTTGATGTTTAAATTACACTCGATTATTTACGCGCCAAAATTTTAAGAGCTCCAAGTACAGTAGCGCCCTTTACAAATCAACTATCAATATTACATGCCATCGCGATGTACGATGTAGGGCCAGGTTGCCAGATTTCCATGTTCTTGGTTTCGATTCCAGATTTCATTAATTTCACTAAACGTAAATAGGCTTTTTTTCAATGTAAAATGGAAAGTTTGTAGGTACCTACCTATTAACCAAAATCACAAAAAAAAAAATTTTACCGGAAAATTCTTTGTACGAGTGCTAAATTTCGGGGGGGAGTTTCAACCCCCAAAACCCCCTCCTTGGGTGCGCCACTGTTCGCAGGGCCTTGTACTTATTACCCCAGAAATAGGACTTAAAAAATTCAAATTTTAAAAAATATTCACGATTCAATTTAGTGGGACTAAAGTCTGTGAAATTGAAAATAAATTTTTATTCTGAAATGTAAAGTCTGTTTTTTTTTTAAAGATAATTCCCCAAGTCAAAAATTTAGTAACTATGTTGGCAACACAAGCCTTTTCTACATAAAAAATTTGAAACCATTGACAATTTTACATTGTATTGCCAACATAATGTCAGTTTGACTTTTATCTTTAAAAAAAAAACAGATTTTAATAATTTCTCCATTGAACTAAACAGGGTGTTTAGTACCTACTTGGGTGGATTTTGGTACACAATCATGAAATATACTATAAACTATATTGGTATTGCGAAATTGTTTACAGTCTGATTCACGGACAGCTTTTGGACAGCAATTAAGCCAGGATGATGAGGATCCAGTGGATCATCATCAATGTTGACACTCACATCATTGAAAACAAATTATAAAATCAAGTATAACATTGTTTGGATTACGAACCTGGGTAATATGCTGTAAATTGTTAAATGCTAAAAAACTCTTAAAATTAAGTAGGACATCACTAGATGACGAGCAAAAAAACTTTGGTATACATAACTTAAACACTAGAAATAGTTCTTACCTTCACACCAATATTTGCAAATCCAAACTGGCATGTCGTTCTCCCCAAAATATTGGGCCCTTAGTTTTTAATAAGTTACCGAACAACATTGAGAATTGTTAATCTTCAAAGCAATTTAAATGTTACGAACACATAAAGCTTCAAGCTCCTCATCAAAAATATCAATATTGCTAGCATTATAAACATTTTTTATTGCAAGAAGGACTCCACCTCCCTGATTTTTACTGGTCAAATGTGGAATTCTATTTTTTCTGAATATTTCTTATTTCTCTATCATCACCACAAAATTCCGAAGTGTAGGTACACTGATTCATTAAGCCATGTTTCAGTAAGAGCAATGACC